AAATCACATGCAATCAAACTTGTTTTGCTTTCATCACTGGTTTTCTTTTGGAAAAGAACACACATTTGAATAACTTCTAATTCAAACATTATGTTTCCATTTCATTTCCTTCTTTTCTTTAAAGTTAGCAACCACCAAAACCTTCTAGATAACTCGTCATTATATTCTTCCTCATTTTTATTCACACTTAAATATTACAAAGCCTATACAATCAAACCATAGACTGCTCAGATATCTGAAAAGTTTCATTTACATAATAGATTCTGCTATGTTAAGAAACCACACACAAGTGATATTTTGCAAAATGGATAAAAAATAGGATACATTGTCTGAAAGCAAAGCTAAACAGTAATGATTTCTTATCTAAATAATTTTAATCAAATGAATAATATATTCATTTGGTAATAGCCTCTTTTATAGAATACTTTAAAAAAAGTGCTCAGATTACATTTTTAAAAAATAACAAAAATCTCACAGAACTGGAAGAATGTAAATAAAGATGGTGGCCTGGAAAACCTTGATGACATTTCTGCTCCGGAAACAAGGAAGCAGGTAAGCATTTACGTGCATCCGGAAAGGAACTCCAACTCCAACTCTAAGAGCGTGAATGCATAGCTTAAAGCCTTGAAAAGATAGAAACTATCTTTGAAAGGTTCTTGAGTGTCTTTCTTTGGATGAAAGCCATGAACATAAAACGAGATTTCTCAGCTAGACCGCACATCACCCAGCCAAGCCGGGTCACTTGCCTTGCTGTCCTTTTCCAGCACGCTATCAGTACTCAGCCAGGATGCCAAAGAACAAATAATTAACTCATTAGGATCAATACACTCTCTTCCCCAAAGAACAGCGCATGAATACAGCAACTGAGCAAAAGCATCCTGGTGGCCAGCTCTCTCTGGAGGTTCACTGTAGCCAGCCTTGAATGCCGCCCGCAGGGGCAGGACCCTGATTCCCAGACAGGGATGTGATCGATCACTTTGCTCTGAAGGAACCCGAACTGAATTCTACAGGAGGAAACCAGAGTCGTGGTAAGATGTAAGAGTCCGGTTTTCTCTTCACGGGCTACTCAAGAGTTGTGATCTCTAGGGCTGCTATTCCACATGCCAGTCACAGAGATAAAGAGGGTGTGATGCAGTTGGTAGCATCAAAAACATTCTGACGCCAAGGGTACCAAGATGTGGCCCCACCCCGCTGACTTTCCTGGTACTCATATTACTCACGACACTTCTGAAGTCCTACTTTGAAATTTCTTTCAAAATTCAGCTATGTCCACAGCACAGTATATAGAGCATAATTCCACGTATATTCAAATTATGTACATATGTGTGTAGATATGTAACAATTCTCTCTTTTTCTAGTATGATGGAATTTCAGATTATATTTTACCTTCTTATTTATAGTTTTATTAATATTTGAACTGCTTACAGTGAGTACCATTTTGTGATTCTAAAAACATCAAGCTATCTTCTTTTTGGAGGAAAAAGAAAAAAATCTACAGATTCTGAAGGCATTTCCAAACAAGAGTCGATCAAATACTCTTGGGAGATGACTCTGAAGAACAAAATCTCAGAAGAATGCAAAACCCATGCGATCAGAGAAAATGGCTTTCCTCACTACTCTCACCTCAGGTGGCAAAGTACCTGCATGTGGCAGGTGTTTTACACACACACACACACACACACACACACACACACACACACACAAACTGAATGAATAAATACACAGTTTATTTGGATGCTGAATTTCTAGACATGTGATTTTTAAAATCATTGTTTAATGATCCTTCTTTTAGCTAAACGAAATTATTTTCTAATGTCTTATCTAAATTCAGTGTATTTAGAAGAAAAGATTAAAACCAGTAGTAGATTTCAAAGTACTATGTTTTATAATATGGTTTTTTAAAAATATTGATAGAAAACGGGCAAAATGGGGAATGGAATGAACTCAGTGGCCAAGCAGCTGACAGAAGGCCAGGGGTCACCTGAGAGAGAGCACAGGAAACTAACCCTCCTCTGTCATTCATCATCTCCAACACAATTCTGTTCTGTGAACTGATGCGGCTGAGTCTCCTTCCCCCCGGCACAGGGCCTGCAACCTTGACCGGGGTGGACAAGGGACATTTGCTGACTGCGTGAGGGGCCAAAAGAAAGTGAGAGGACACGGAGCGAGCATGTGCTGACTCCCAAATCAAAGGGCAAAAAATGGATTGCTCCACCTCTGCCCTGGAACAGAAGTCAAGATGATTCCTATGCTTCATTAAACGTGGTTTGTAGCACAGCTATAAAAGGAGTCAGATATTAACTCGTTTTTAATCAATAACCGAAGACAAGTGTCCTGAGTTCTAAGGAGTGAAAAATTTAGCATATAGTTACTTCTAATGGGTCTTAGGTCAAGGCAGGAGCTAACATTTTCCTAAAACGGGCAAAAAAAAGCCCCCCAAACAAAAAACCAACAACCCCCCCCAAACCTCCATTTCTTCGATTTTTAGAAATAGAACGAATAATACGTGCAACTAGGGTAATCATATTACTTCGTTGTCAAACTGGGATACTTTTGAGTGTAAAATTATTTGAGAGTAATAATTATTCTAGGAAAAAACAATCATGTGAAGACAACAGACATGACAGCACGGGGGCTGTCGTGGGTAAATGATCCTCTGAGGTTCACAGGACCGCCTTCAAGGTTTGTATCTTCTGCTCTATCAACTACACAACCTTCGGCAGGGATACGAAACACGGAGTGCTCTTGCGGAGAGTCTGCGAAGAGGTAGGCCGACTCCCCACCTTCTTCCGCAGCCCTAGGTCTCCTGGCATCAGCCAATGTCAAACGGCTCTGAGCAAAGTCGGCTGTGATTTCTTGGACCAAAAAAGCACGACGGTGTTTAAACGACTTAAGATCCACCTACTCATTTTACTTTCCAAAATATTAACATGAGACATCAATACCGTATCTTGTTCATAAAACAAACTTCCGGAACGAGAGACCCCCACGAGGAGGCCAGGTCACGACCCGTTTTCCAAATCTTTACAGGGGCCGGGGATTCTCACGCAAACGCCGCCACAAAATGGTTTAGAAAAGCCATAGAAGAGTCAAAATAAAAAATATCTCATCTGTGGGCAGGCGGGCGCGTTCCCGGGGCGCGGGGGTGCGCAGGGGTGCGTAGGGGGTGCGGGGCGCAGGGGGAGGCGCGGGGGGCGCGCCGCCGTCAGTTCCGCAGCAGCAGCATCCGCTCGGCGCACGCCTGCCCCACCAGCCGCGCGTACTGCAGCACCGCCGCCTCCTCGGCCGCCGCCTCGCGCTGCCTCTTGTAGACGCCGTAGGGCAGGATGGCTTTCTTGTGGAACACCTGCAGCCGGTCGGGCTCCTTGCTGCGACCTTCGTCCACTGCAAGGACAAAGAAGACGCATTAAACCAAGTCATGGTCGCGCTACTGTCGCCCCCGAAAGGAACGATAATTCCCGCGATACGAATGAGGAGGAAGACGCGTCCTTCAGGATGTCCGGGCGGGGACGTTGGGGACTGACACCCGCTGGCAGGAAGAGGCCCTCCCCCGGGGGAGCGGGAACGTCAGAGGAGAGCTGTGCGCAGTTAAAACCCGGGCCTTCGACCCGTTGTTGTCTCTGACGGTCAGGTTTGCCACCGTCCTTCCTGGGTCCGAACTGCACGGACTCTGCGTCTCTCCCAGGCCGATGTCCTGAGGTTCCCGCGCCGCAACCAAGCTTTCTGTGACTCGGAGGCCTGGGCGAACTCCAGCGGGGCAGGTCCTGGCCCTGGGGCATGAAGGGTCTGGGGGCGGAGGGCAGAGCTCACAGCCCTGGGGAGGGGGACAGGGCAGGGGCTGCTGGTGGCTGTGGCTCCCGGTTCTTCTCCTTTTTCAGATAAGCAAAGCCCTGGCTTCTACAGGACACACCGGTTACCTGGAGGAAAGCCTGTGTCCAGCTTCCCCTACAGTTGGGTCCGGCCCTGTGACCAAGCTCTGGCCCATGGGACACAAGTGGAAGTGTTCTGTGGAAGTTTCCAGGCATCTTTTAAGAGAACAGCTGGTCTGTGCCCTTCAACCCTTCTTCCCTCATTGTGCGGCCTGTATCATGGAAGTCATGGCAGAAGCCCTGACCCCTCTTCTGTCTCTCTCTGTCTCTCTCGAGCTTGAGATTAGAAGATTTCCCTTAGGTCAGCAAAAACAAAAGCCAGAAGGAACCCGGGTACCTGAGGACTCCGTGTAACACAACTCTAGTCCTGGTCTGCCTATGTAAAGAATTTCATAGAAAAATGAAACGATCTTGTTTAAGCCAACTGACTTTAGATTTCTTTTTTTTTAAAAGATTTTATTTGACAGACAGAGATCACAAGTAGGCAGAGAAGCAGGCAGGGAGAGGAGGAAGCAGGCTCCCCGCTGAGCAGAGAGACCGATGCAGGGGCTTGATTCCAGGACTCTGGGATCATGACCTGAGCCGAATTAGAGACTTTAACCCACTGAGCCACCCAGGCACCTCTGACTTTAGATTTCTACTACTGGCAGCTGCTCCTAATTCTAACTAATACAGGGAACAACTTTACTATCAACTAAAATGTACCATGTCTTTTATCACTGACTCAGCCAGGTCACTTGTAAGAATCATCCTATAGCTGCGGTTCTCAACCCTGACCACATACTGGAATCATCCAAGGAACCTTTAAAAAATACCAAAAAAGTCCTGGATCCCTCCTCCAGGCTATCCTGATTTAGAAACTGGTCTGAATAAAACCTGAGCATCGGTATTTTCTTAAGCCTTTTAAAGTGGGTTGAGTTGGGACGCCTGGGTGGCTCAGTCGGTTGAGCTCCCAGCTCTTGGTTTTGAAATCTCAGGGTCATGAAATCGAGCCTCGACACGGGTCTTCTTGAGATTTTTTTCCACCTCCCTGTCCCTCCCCCTCTGCTCCTCCCCCGACTCACGCGCGTGCTCTCTCTCTCTCTAAAACAAATGAATAGATAAAATCTTAAGAAAATAATTTAAAAAATAAGGTGGGTTGAGAACAGAGAAACACACACGTCAGTATTTATATGCGAGCATAAGCGGGTTTAGAGCCACACTCAGCGGTACCGAGGACCTGGAAACAACGCACGGGTTCACCAACGGAGAACTGGCCAGATGTCTTAAGGTACAGGCATGTGATAAAATGCTACACAGCTATCAAAAAGACAAAGGAAGGCAGATTGTTAAGTGGAAAAAAAAAAAAACGGAGGCACAAGGTAAATTACTGTTCTTTATAAGCCTAGTATGTGCACACAACAAATCAGAGCGAATACGCATCAGCCTTTTTACAGTTACTTCTCTCCATTCCCTTTGCCTAGAAAGACCCTTTCTTTCCCCCAGAAAAAACCCGGCTCACCCTCCTGCTTCCTCAGATGACGTCAGAGGTTGGCTCCTCAGAGGGTCTTCCCGGACTCTCTATAAACCAGCGCCCCGGCTCCCCTTGCGCTCCTTAACTGCCTTCATTGCACTGACTACCACGTGACATACGTAGTTATTGCCTGTTTCCTTTTCCACTAGAAAGTCCTATGTGAATACAAATTAAATGAAACATTGTGACTGTTTTGCCCACTAATATTTCCTCGGTGTCCAGTACAATGCCTGATGGCAGGTGCTCCATACACACTCGCTGGACGAATGAACGAGTCTACCTCGGGAGGCAGGAGCATGACAGGAGACTTTCACACTGTGGGAAACACACACGCATACACATACTCTCATCATTTCTTGGATTTTCTATAATTGGCATAAGGCTTTTATAATTTTAAACAGTTGTTTTTAAGGTTGATTTAGGCATTTAAAAAAAATTAATTGGGGTTGGGGCACTTGGGTGGCTCAGTTGTTGGGCATCTGCCTTCGGCTCGGGTCATGATCCCAGGGTCTTGGGATTGAGTCCTGCATGGGGCTCCCTGCATGGCGGAAAGCCTGCTTCTCCATTTCCCACTCCCCCTGCTTGTGTTCCCTCTCCCTGCGTCTTCTATCAATTAAATAAATAAAATCTTTAAAAAAATTAATTTGGGTCTTCTGAAACTGAAAAGTGGAAATGCTAGTTTCCTTTTCAACAAAAGGATTCTTTTAGAAGATTTCTCAGGATCTTTCAGCTATAAACTTCAAGTCAAATAAAAGTCATCATAGTTTCACAATAGAGTTGCTATAAATTCAACATTTTATTGGGCATCTCACAGAAGGCTCTATGTTTTTAAACATTTGAACTGAATTACATTCCTTTTTATTGTGAAATTGAAGCAACAGTTAAATGTTTATTCTTCCTCAACTGAAGCTGTTTCTTCTACTGGGTATTCATTAATTAGTCTGGATTAATCATCCAACATCAGTTTCAGAAGAGACAGAAGTCAAACAACGCTTCCGATATCTAAAAGACAAAGAGACATCACATTTCTGGACTCATGGCATAGGCCAGCTGATCTCAATCTTCAGAAAGTGATAAAACGAGTTAGGGCATTCTAAAATTATACTCTACAACTGTTCAGAAATTTGTTAGAGGGAGATGCAAGTTCATCATGTACTATTATCCCAAAAGAAGTTCTCCATTGTCAGAGAACACCACATGGGTCCACTGAGAACCCTACGTGGGAAGGCGCACAGGTATGAAGGAAAGGGGACACCAAGGATGCCGGCCAGAGGGTCTTCATGTCCTCAGAACCAAGTGCCGATATAGTTTTAGATTTTCACGTTACCCAGGACACATTCGGGGGAGATCAAGGTGAAGGGGGACAGAATCTGGAGAGGCAGGGATCCAACCTTTCACTACTTGATTTATCTCCAGTGCCATGCCTGGGCCTGTCTGCCCTCCCCGCTTCTACTGCTTGGCTCTGCGCTGCAGGAGGCTGGACCTGGGGGTGCGGGTAGACGGAGCCAAGGTTTCTCCCCCAAACCTGGCTTTTCTTTCTTTCTTTCTTGGCTCTGCTTTTCTTTTTTTTTTTTTTTTTTTTTTTTAAAAGTTTTTTTTTTTTTTTTTGACAGACAGAGATCACAAGTAGGCAGAGAGGCAGGCAGAGAGAGAGGAAGGGAAGCAGGCTCCCTGCTGAGCAGAGAGCCCGATGCGGGACTCGATCCCAGGACCATGGGATCCTGACCTGAGCCGAAGGCAGCGGCTTAACCCACTGAGCCACCCAGGCGCCCCTTGGCTCTGCTTTTCGGCAGCAGCTCCAGCTACACTTGAAGTGGTTAAGGTTCCAGCTTCTAGTGGTAGCCCTGGGGTGGCGCAGGGGTGGCCCAGAAGAGGCAGTGGCTTCCAGCTGTCGCTCATCTCTGGGTCACTCTGTGCCTTGCCCAGCTCTCAGCAGCACCACTCTCTGTTATCACCCATTCCCTGCATTAAATGTTCACTGTTGTAAGTACCGGAAGTGGTCTTGGTGCTCGGGTTGAATGTACCGACTTCAAAATTTGTGTGTTCAACAAATTACTTGGTCCAGCTGAAGCAGGAAACCCACATACTTTAACACAATGAAATACTTTGCGTTTGCTAGGTTTCCACACCCCTTATTAGGATAAGTGACAAAGGAAAAGGGCAATGGCCTGGTTCCTGATGTCAGCTCTGGGAATTTTTATGTCCATATACTGCAACACAAACAACTAACTCCATCACCTGGGTATAAATACAGCAGAAAAAAGGTAGGCTCGAGTACACTTAGAGCCTCATACAAATAGAAAACTGGTAAAGGTCACTGAGAGCAGTCAAGGAGCAAGAACACTGGCAAAACTGTACAATATCTTCTAAATCTAAAGCCTTTGAATTTTTTAAATTGGAATTTTAAAGTATGTCTGCTGAGCGACAGCAGCAGAAAAATGTTCCCCTTTAGCCCCGAAGGCTGACCTCCAGCCTGCATAGCTCCGATAAGGATCGAATACGTGCAGGTCACTACATTCTTAAAGGGTCTCATGACTGCCTGTACATCTCACCGATAGTTAACATCCAGCTGAATGATAAGCACTGGAGAAACGCTGCAGAAGTAGTTTTATGAGTAGAAATTCATGGGGATTTATAATCTCATACTCCCTGCACAGCCCCCCTCCCCGCCTTGAGCACTAAGCAAGTAACCAGCAGCTTCCTACAGCAAACATGCACCTCTTCCTGCAGGGCCCTGTCCCAGTGCCTTTAGAGCAAATACAAATTCACTTTTCTTTGCCAAAGGTCTCGATCTGGAAATGTGTCCTCTTCCCCATTCTTGGCCTCAACCCGATCTGCATACAATCGCTGTAAATTACAACATCTCCTGCAATCCATTTTTTTTTTTTTTTTCACTATTTCCTTTCTACTCCCTTTCACAAAAGCTTAAGATTGCCTTCGGACAGAAACAAACAAAACTCTGTAGTCTCTGTTTACCCTCCAGCTAGTTCATTCCACTTTTCTCTCCTTCTTTAAAGGATATTTACTTAATGGCCACTTCCTCGCCTCCCACTCACCGAACAATCTATTGCCATGTGTGTCTTGCTCCGTCAAGTCCACTCTGCTCACTAAGGTCAAAGGTCTCACTGCTCTTGAATATAATGAACACATTTCAGCTTTCATCTCCCTCAGCAGAGTGTAAACTCAGAGGAGCACGTCCTCTTCCCTGAAATCCACTCCAGCCTTTCTGACAACACTCGCTCCAGGTCTTCTCTTTCCACCAGGCCAGTTCTTCACCAGACCTTCAGACGCTGGGAGATAGACAGTGTTCTGTTCTAGGTCATCCCCTCTTCCCCGCTACACTTTCTTCCTAGGAAACTTCACCCACGTGCATGGATTCAGTTACCATCATTAATCCGACCTCCAAGTCCTCAGGTTAGAGCTGAAATCCTGCTCTTGAGCCTCAGGAAGACACGGTAACACCATGTGCAGCTGAGGTTAGGAGGCTGTGGTCTATGACTTGTCTTTTGCCAGGCAAACTCACATGGTCTTAGAGCAATTCTTTTAGGACTATGTCCTGCAGAAATATTAGTAAGTGTGCAAAAAGATGCATATTTAAGAGTACGTTGTGGCATTATTTGTAGTAGCAAAATACGTAAAACTTAAATGTCCATCAATGAGGGTAATGATTACCAATAATACATATCACTGTATATAGCCTTTAAGAAAGTACAGGTAATCACTTATACCATATGGTCCAATAAATATGCTTCTCAGTATTTCCCCAAAGGAGCTGAAAACTTTTTTTTCTTCAGTTTTGGGGGGTTTTTTTAAGATTTTTTATTTATTTATTTGACAGACAGAGATCACAAGTAGGCAGAGAGGCAGGCAGAGAGAGAGGAAGGGAAGCAGGCTCTCTGCCGAGCAGAAAGCCCGATGCGGGGCTCGATCCCAGGACTCTGGGATCATGACCTGAGCCGAAGGCAGAGGCTTAACCCACTGAGCCACCCAGGCACCCCTTCAGTTTTTTTTTTTTAAAGATTTTTTTTTTTTAAATAATTTCTGCACCCAATGTGGGGCTCAAACTTACAATGCCAAGATCAAGAGTCCCATGGTCTATCACCTGAGCCTGCCTGGAGCCCCAAGGAGCTGAAAACTTATGTCCACACAAAAACCTGCAAGCAGATGTTTAAAGCAGCTTTACTTGTAACTGCCAAAATATAGAAGCAAGAGAAATGTTCTGCAATGGGTGAACGAATAAACAAACAGTAGTACTATCATTCAGTGATGAAAAGAAATGAATTTTCAGGCCGTGAAAAGACATGGAGGACCTTAAAATGCATGTGACTCAGTCTAAGAAGCCAATCTGACAAAGCTATGTGCTACCATAGGGTTCCAAGTCTATGACATTCTGGAAAGGGCAAAACTGCGGAGGCAGGATAAACAGAGGAGTGGTTGCCGGGGTTTATGGCAGGGAAGGGGGATGAATGAACGGAACACAGGGTATTTAGGGCAACGAGACCACTCTATAGGACACATGTCACTATATGTTTGTCAAAACTCATACAACGTACAACACAAAGAGTAAACCCTAATGTAAACTGTGGACTTCGGTTGATCATAATGGATCAATTACTGGCTTATCAATTGTATCCAAAGTATCCTATAATGCAAGATGTTAATAATATGGCAAATGGGAGGTGGGAGTTGGAGGGCAGATGGAAATTCTTTGTACTTTCTGCTCAATTTTTCTGTATACCAAAAACTGCTCCAAAAAAGTCTATTTAAAAAAAGAAGAATGAGAAAAATATAAGATACTGACAAGAGGGGAAACTGGGTATGGGAGAAGGCTCTACATTATCTTTGCAATTTTTCTGTAAAGCTACAACTCTTCTAAAAAAGTTTTTTATTTTTTTTCAAAGATTTTATTTATTTATTTGACAGAGATCACAAGTAGACATAGAGACAGGCAGAGAGAGGGAGGGGGAAGCAGGCTCCCCGCTGAGCAGAGGACTGATGTGGGGCTCGATCCCAGGACCCTGAGATCATGACCTGAGCCGAAGGCAGAGGCCCAACCCACTGCGCCCCCCAGGCGCCCAAAAAGTTTATTTTTAAAAAGAATGAAGAAGTCTATTATACAATAATAAAGATTTTTCAAGATAACCTAATGTTAATGTAAAAAACAAGCCACAGGATATTTTTAGAATGATTTAATTTGTATATATAAATTGTATGTTAAACAAATGATATAATTAAAAATTAGAATTAAAAAACATATGCACAGAAAGAACCCGAGGCCTTCCCACCAAACTTCAGCAGCGCTTACCTCCGCAGAGCCAGGCATGTGGGCGTGTGTGAGCAAGCTCCCTTGCGCTGGGATGCGTTGTGGGATTTTCACTTTCCACATCATATGTTTAATAATCACAAGCGTATCACCCAATCATGTTTCTGGTAAAAAAAAAATTCTTAAACCAAAAGAAGCCACCCAGAGCTCAAGTGCTGGTGAATAAATAAATACGAAGCATCCAGCCCAGGATGGGTGCTCAGAGCAGCAGCACGACTGCCACCGCTGATCTCAGTAAAGGCAGTGCCGCTCTTCTCAGCACCGAGAATGCCCACTTCGGTCACGAAGCCTCTGTTTAAAGAGAGTGCTCATGTCTGCGCGGCCTTTATCGTGTGAAGCTGGGGGCCAGAGCTGGGTGTGGGGAACACCTGCCTGCAGAGCTCCTGGAAACGGGAGGGAGCTTCTGAGTCAGCTGACTGGGGCTGCACATGGGGCAGGGTCCCCCCACGGCAGTGCTGGTCCCAGGCCGGGACCTGCCTCCATGCGAAGTCGCCCCTGGGGGCTCATCTAAACTTCCGTGTGAATGAATGGCCCCAGAGGCAGAAGAAAGCGCTGCCAGTCTTCCAAAGAAACCAGGTATTACAGACAGTGAGCTAAATTCTACTGCGCTGGCTCTCCATCTTGATGGCATCTTAGAATCCTGTGTGAGGTTTTAGGGAACTCTGATGCTCAGCATACACTGTGGCGCCCAGAGATAAGAGAACAGAAATACCCCATCATGCAGTCAGACAAAGAGGAGATCTTTAAAACACACCAGTGCGTGAATCTAAGGATATGTTAACAATTTCTTGCAATTGGCTTTAAAAATAGTGCTCTAGGACAGAGAATTGGCAACCTCCCCCCCTAAAGAAATCCAACCCCCAAACCAAAAACCAAGGCTACAGCGGGGAATTCCTATGTTACCATCTTCATGTGGCCATTTTTCATTTCTGCTCCCATTAAAGCTTCAGAGTGGAGAGGGTGGACCTCAGGGGTGCCTGAATGGTGCAAATAAGAACCTACAAGATAACCCCGCTTGTCTTCTTATATCTGATAGAATAATGTTTTGATCCACTAGTTTTGTGTTAGAAGTCAGCAGACTTCCATTTAATTTTATTTGTAACTTGATAAAGTGACTCAGTGAAGACTAAAAAACCCAATATATTAACATAGATGAGAGAAAAAGAGACATTGATAATTCCTTAAGAATCAGTTTACAGACCGTCAAAACGTGAGGAGGGGCGCCTGGGTGGCTCAGTGGGTTAAGCCTCTGCCTTCGGCTCAGGTCATGATCCCAGGGTCCTAGGATTGAGCCCCGCATCGGGCTCTCTGCTCAGCGGGGAGCCTGCTTCTCCCTCTCCCTCTGCCTGCCTCTCTGTCTACTTGTGATCTCTGTCAAATAAATAAATAAAATCTTTTAAAAAAAAGAAAACAAACAAACAAAACACGTGAGGAGTAAGGGTCAGTGGTATCGTCTCTGTAAGTGCTTTGTTACTGTTCAGTTTTATGCTTTTGAAAGTTTTCTTTTCTGGATTTTTAAACCTAAAACTGGTTGCTATAATCTCTCTGAAAGTTCATAACGGCAAGTTAACATTAGTGATACAAATAAGCCTTTTACAAAACTTGGATGAGATTTTATCAGGTCTGATTTTACCAGGTAGTAAATTAACTTCAGATTTTCTCAATTACTCGTCTGCTACATTAACTAGCAGCGGTGTGTTTAATATTCTTCCCAGTACAGCTGGAAACGCACAGCTAAAATAACAGTGATAGTTTACACATTCCTAACTAGCAAAAAATAGTTCTGGGACTTTTTTTTTCTTTTAAATTAAGACAGGAGAGCTTCCACTTCCAGAAGATAATCTCTGCCTACTTCTCCCTCCTGTCCCATAGGACAGAAAACCCTGCACATTATACAACAAACGTAAGAAGACAGTGAAACGAAAGAAGAGGCAGCCCAGTGGGGACGCTGAGATCTGAGGCACGATAAGGTGGCGAGCATCCTGGGCTTTCCTTTTGCCTCAGGTTTTCCAGAGGGGATACTGGAAAGCCGGCAACCCCGAAAAGCCAGTGCACTGAGACAAAACAAACAAACAAAAAGTAGTAAGAAAAACCTCCCTTTAACCAGAGGTCCAGGAAAGTGGCAGCCTAGCAAGAAAGGAAACTTTCTGCCAATAATCTCAAAAAAACAAACTGCCACAACTCATGCAATATGAAAGATAATGTAAATAGCTCTAAAGCTAGTGAAGAAATTGAGTTTGTAATTAATTTTGAAAAAGAAATCTCTAGGCCCCAATGGTTTCACTGGAGAATTCTACCAAACATTTAAATAAGAATGAGCACCAATTCTACACAAAATCTTTCAGAAAATAAAGAGAAGGAACCTAAATCAGAGCAAAAGAAAACTGCAAAGCAGTGCCCGTTAGGAATATAGATGCAGAAATCCTTGACAAGGTGTTGGCAAACACAGATCCAGCGGCTGCACGTACTCCCAGGATGCAAGGCTGAGTCAGTATTTGAAAGCCAATCAATATACCTCCCATTTTAACAGTTTAGAGAAAACATCTACATACTCACATCAATTGATGCGAAAATACACCTCAAGGGTTCAACACCCAACCAGGCATGATAAAAACTCCCAGAAAACTAGGACTGCACAGGGATTTCCTTAACTTGATAAAGAATGAACGCTTTCCCCCTAAGGTTAGAAATAAGGTGGTGCGCCTGGGTGGCTCAGTGGGTTAAGCCTCTGCCTTTGGCTCAGGTCATGATCTCAGGGTCCTGGGATCAAGCCCCGCATCAGGCTCTTTGCTCAGCGGGAAGCCTGCTTCCCCCTCTCTCTGCCTGCCTTTCTGCCTACTTATTATCTCTCTCTGTCAAATAAATAAATAAATTCTTTAAAAGAAAGAAAGAAAGAGAAGGCAAGAACTCGTACCATCACCAGTTTTACTCAAAATAGTGCTGGAAGTCCTAGCTAATGCAATAGGAACAGAATTGAAAACAGGAACTGAAATGCATGTGGATAGGAAAAGAGGAAATAAAACTGTCCCTATTTGCATACGACATAACAGTGTCTGTAGAGAATCTCAAGGGTGCTATAAAACAATCCTCCTAGAACTGTAAATGAGCCCAGCAAAATCACAGGATAAAAGATCAACATACAACAATCAAATGAACTGTAAGTCACACACCTTGTAAGGGACCAATATCCCAGATATAAAGAACTCCTAAAACTCAACAACAAAAGAACCCAAATAAGTTGATTCAAAACCAGGCAAAAGACATGAATAGACATTTCTCCAAAGATGACATACACGTGGCCAATGATCATACGAAAAGATGCTCAACATCACGCGTCATTAGGGAAATGCAAATTGAAACCACAATAAAATACCATGTCCCACGCATTAAGATGGTCATTGTCAAAAACCCAGAAAACAGCAAGTGTCGGCAAGGATGTGGAGAAACTGGAATGCTTGCACCACTGCTGTTGGGGATGTAAAAGTGCGCCCTCTGGGAAAAACAGTATCAGTCGTTTCTCAAAAAAGTTAGAATTATTATATAATCCAGAACTCCATTTCTGGACATAGACCCCAAAAAATAGAAAGCAGGGTTTCAAAGAGATATCTGGAGGCTACCCATGTTCATTGCAGCATTATTTAAACAGCCACAAGGTGGAAACAACCCAGGTGTCCATGAATGGTTGAATGGGTAAACAAAATATGGTCTCCCTGTACAATGGATATCATTCAACCTTAAAAAGAAATGAAGTTCTAACGCTACAACATGAATGAACCCTGAAGGCATGAATGAACCCAAAAGGACAAATAATGTATGATGCTACTCCTCTATGAAGGACTTAATCATCAAATTCATAAAGACGGCAATTAGACTTGTGAGCTGAGAAAGGAATGGGAGCTATTGTTTAATAGATACAGAGTTTAGTTATGGGGCCATGAAAAAAGTTCTGAAGACGGATGGTGGTGATGGTCGCACAAAAATGTGAATGTCCTTAATGCACTGAATCACACACTTTTTAAGTTCATGGATTGGAAGACTTTTGAGAAAAATATTAATTCTCTCCAAGCTGACATATAGATTTAACACAGCTCCTAACAAAATCTTCGTAAGTACTTTTACGGATATAGGCAAGATTATTCTAAAATTTATACAGAAAGACTGGGAGAGCTGAAACAACTCTGAAAAAGAATGAAGTTGGAGAAGAATCATTCTGCCCAACTTCAAGGCTTGCTTCATAGTTCCAGCAATCAAGACTGTGTAGTATTTACAAGGGTGGACACACAGATCTGTGGAACAGGACAGAGGATCCGGAAACAGCACCGCACAAGTCCAGCCAACTGATTTTGACAAAAATGCCAAAGCAGGGGCACCTGGGTGGCTCAGTGGGTTAAAGCCTCTGCCTTCGGCTCAGGTCATGATCCCAGGGTCCTGGGATCAAGCCCCGAATCGGGCTCTCTGCTCAGCAGGGAGCCTGCTTCCTCCTCTCTCTCTGCCTGCCTCTCTGCCTCCTTGTGATCTCTGTCTGTCAAATAAATAAATAAATATTTAAAAAAAAATGCCAAAGCAATTCGGTGGGGAAGAGCCTTTGTAACCAGCAGTTTGGGAGCAATTGGATATTCATAGGCAAAAAACTAAATCTTGAACTAAACTTTCCATCTTAAACAAAGGTTAGCTCATGAATCATATATTACATGTAAAAGTATAAAACTAATGGAATGTCTCTGATACCTAGGGCTTACTGAAGAGTTCTTATGACACCAAAAGCACGATTCATAAAAGAAAAAGAAAAAAATGATAAACTGGACAGCATCAAAATTAAAAACTTTTGCTTTGTGAAAACCAACAAAGGACAAAAAGACAAGCTACTGAGGACCTGTATTTAAAATACATAAAGGTGGGCACCTGGCGGTCTCAGTTGGAAGAGATGTAACTCTTTTTTTTTAAAAGATTTTATTTATTTATTCGACAGATCACAAGTAGGCAGAGAAGCGGGGGTGGGGTGGGGTGGGAAGCAGGCTCCCCGCTGAACAGAAAGCCAGAGGCAGGGCTCGATGCCAGGACCCCGGAATCATGACCTGAGCTGAAGGCAGAGGCTTTAACCCAC